ACTTCAGAACGGCCGAATCAAATTGCAAAAAGTAAAGTTATTTATAAATCTTGAAAACAGACAAATATACCAAATATAGACCAAATATTTAAAAATATACAGGATGTTCCATTTAAAAAAATAAAGTTGGTGTCGATTTCCGGTATAACCGGAAGTGCTAGAAATCTGAAAATATTTTAGTCGAAGAGAACGCAATTGATAATACTTAGGTCTGAGTTCTCAAATTTTTATTTTGACCACAACTCCAGAAACGTCTAATGACTGGTCTCGCTGAGACACCCTGTATGTTTGTACTCTGAAACATTTAACCTTTAGAGTTAGCTCACTAATTTCTAAAATATGACAGCAAAAAATGATGCCTGATCCACAAAAGGGTTCAAAACTAGTATGCTCGAATTACTGAGGAATATCCTTCCTAAATGTAACTTACAAAGTGCTGGCCAAAATGTTAGGAAGGAGGCTGGAAAGACACACGGGGACTAGCAGAGCGGCTTCAGAAGGGGTGTAAAAAACTATACCTGTATCAGACGATGGAAATCTTGAGTAAAATGGAAGCTACATGAAATATTGCCAGTAATACCTTGGAAAAGGACCTACTATACTGGTTACAATGAAAATTGAACTACAAATGAAATACACCCACTAAACTAATAATGAAATTTAATTGATAAAAGTAACTCAGATGTAATTTGTTATCCATATAATTATTTACATCACAATTTAAAGATTACCTGATTTGGAAGAGAACATCTCCGATATTTGTTTAATGAAATTACTGAGAAATCCTAAGACGTGATTATTTTCAATACAAAAAATATTTATTATATGTTATATTATGTACACATTATAGTAAACTTATTATAATACATAGCCAACTTCAAATTTTTTGAAATGAATCTATCCCAAGAACCTACTCATTATCATTAATGAAAATATCAAATTTTAACCTAATATTTTTATTAATCACTTATTATTGCAAAGTTCTGATAATGAAAATTGGGGTAATAAAATTATATTGTTTACTTTAATATTATTATGTTTCANGTAACGAAGAAGACGATAGCTTGGAGATCCCACCAATATGACCTCACTGTTCTAAACTTGGCTATACAATTAACATTTTTTAACATTCCTTCCATGTATTCTTCCGTTACTATAAAAGATTGAGTTTGGCGTATTTAGAAAAATTTTAGAAATTTTCCTATCAGTAATATATAAGGTCTTGGGGTAAAACTGATCCCAGTATGCATACAATGTATTAAAAAGAACAATTAGTGCCATCTTCCCGTCGTTCACAAAACTAAAAAGAATTACTCTGTAGTTGCAGTTTCGTGTACTGGAGAGATTTATTAGTTGGGGAATCATCGAATTACGATTTCTGTTGTAAACAAACGAGTTTTTCACATATTTCAAAGATAAATGTTGTGAAGTAGTGTAGTTCTGTAACATATTACTGACTTTTACAATAAAAAATTTATTTTACGTTTTAGAATTACTGGAGGTAAGTTATTAGGTACTTTTTTCTTTGGATAGTTAGTAAAATGTATGTCATTTTTAGTGTCAGTAAAATATGACGAGAAAAGGTCTAAATGAAGCTGAACTGTTGGCCCTTCTGGAAGACGATAATGTTCCCGAAGAACCTACAGATATTTTATCGATCGATGATGAATTTGAGCCAGAAGTGATCGAGGCACAAAGTGGTGACAGTGAAGAATCGGAAATTGAAGAGAGTAGCGATGAAGACAATACAGAAAGTGATGAGAGTGATAGTTATTTCTTAGGAAAAGATAATGTAACCCAGTGGTATAAGAAGGCTCCAGCAACCACACGTACTCGTGCCAAGAACTTGTTGACTAATTTACCTGGTGCAAAACAAGCTGGAAAAGAGGTAAAAACTCCCATTGACGTACTGAGATGTTTTATCAGTGATGATATTATAGATTGCATAGTAGTCTTTACCAACCTGAAAATACAGAGCAAAGAAGAAATCTTAGCAATAATTGGTCTTCTTTATCTATGTGGTGTGTTCAGATACACTCATTTATCACTAGATGACTTATGGAGTACTAAGTATGGACCTTCTATGTTTCATGCAACGATGTCTAAAAGACGTTTCGTATACCTTTTGGCCAATTTAAGATTTGACAATAAAATTGAAAGGGATCCCACCAATAAATTAGCAGTGATTCAAATTTTTGGACTCCTTCCGTCGAAAATTGTAAAAAATACTACATGATAAGTGAGTATGCAACTTTAGATGAAATAATGTTGATACCATTTAGAGCAAGGTATAGTTTTATGCAATACCTCCGAAAGAAACCAGCAAAATACGGTATAAAAGTATTCGGTATCTCTTGTGCTTGTATCTTTTAGTTCTTAGGAGGAAAAGTATAGCCTTTCGATAATAGTACCAAAGGAGGAATTGATACACTGGACAAGTTATGCATATTCAGTGCAAAAAGCAACGAGGAGGTGGACAATGACCATATTCTATCATATGCTAAATATAAGTGCTGTAAATACATTAGTATTGTAAAACAGCACGAATCCAGACGCAATTAAAGATAAAAAAACATGGCAGACGACATTTTATAAGAACTGCAGCTTTCATTCTCCTCGAACAACACATGAAAAGAAACACAATTTGAAACGTTGTGGCATTGAAACACCACATCAAGGCAGTCCAATAGTAGTGCTACTGTTACTCCTAAGAAAAGGTCCCGTTGTTCATTTTGACACAAGATAGAAAAACTGCTGACAGATGTGTTCAGAAAAACTGTAAACGATTTATATGTAGAGATCACAGTGTTATAATGTGTAATACTTGTTATGAGAACTTCGAATAAAAAATAAATGTTTTACCCAGTAATCGACTAGTTATTATTAATTATGAAATAAAAAAAATGTCTTCTGACGCTTCTAGTGTATATTTCTTTGTGGGGTTAACTTGATCCCACAATGCACAGTATGTTCCAACTTATACAGGGTGTCTCAGCGAGACCGGTCATTAGACGTTTCTGGAGTTCTGGCCAAAATAAAAATTTGAGAACTCAGATTTAAGTGCAATTTGATTCGGCCGTTCTGGAGTTATTCGAATTTTTCTAGAAAAATCTGCTCCAGCAGACATTTTTTCAAAAAATCAGAGAGCACTCGATTTTTGGAATATCAATTTAGGATTCAGAACATGCTTAAGCAACATGATGGAGGATGTTTTGGTGCCCAGAATGGCTATGTAGAACGTTTGGTCACTTTACTATGGCACGTTAACATTTCGAAATTTGGAAGTACCATAACTTCATTTTTCTAAATGGTACCCCCCATATTTTGTTGTCTTCGGTTTCTCATTCTATATTTTTATATTCCATATGTCCCATACCTAACATTGATAGTTTGGGAGATAATTAGGGTTTTTTGACAAAATGGACACATATCATATGGATATTTAGCCTAGTGTACCATGAAAAACAAGCCTTCTCAATGAGTTCTTGTCAAAGACTCACTTGTTTGCGTCACTTGATGTATGTGAGCTAATAATTATCTGTTAGGTCCCTTAATATTAGTACTAAAAAGAGTTAAAATCGATAACAATAACGAAAATAATATTTACACAAATCAAGAAATTCTTAATTTATTTTTTATACATGAAAAGCGCGCCAGAGTTCGTAGTATGATTCCCAGATCCTTTTAGCAGCTCGAATTGAGGCGTTGGGACTGGGCTCGAAATAAGCTAAGGTATTCACCTCTTCCGCTGCATTGTCTACTACATTTTCTGGTCAGTTTAACACGTTATTAATTCGTCCAAAATGTAAAAAATTTCTATTCTTCTAAATTTACCTTTTGTCAGTAGATGGCGACTTCCGGTATAACCGGAAGTGCTAGAAATCTGAAAATATTTTAGTCGAAGAGAGCGCAATTGATAATACGTAGATCTGAGTTCTCAAATTCTTATTTTGGCCAGAACTCCAGAAACGTCTAATGACCGGTCTCGCTGAGACACCCTGTATGTTTGTACTCTGAAGGTTAAATGATAGAGCTGGCTCACTGATTTCTAAAATATGACAGCAAAAAATGATGCCTGACGAATGGGACATGCTCAAAACTAGTATGCTCGAATTACTGAGGAATATCCTTCCTAATTGTAACCTACAAAGTGCTGGCCAAAATGTTAGCAAGTAGGTTGGAAAGACACACGTGGGCTAGCAGAGAGGCTTCAAAAGGGGACGATCAAATATCGATCACAGATTACAACAGTGTAAAAAACCATACCTGTATCAGACGATGGAAATCGATGGAATCTTGAGTGTACCACATAAGCTACATGAAATATTGCCAGTAATAGCTTGGCAAAGGACCTACTATACTGGTTAAAATGAAAATTGAACTACAAAAGAAATACACCCACTAAACTAATAATGAAATCTAATAGATAAAAGTAACTCAGATGTAATTTGTTATCCATATAATTATTTACATCACAATTTAAAGATTACCTGATTTGGAAGAGAACATCTCCGATATTTGTTTAATGAAATTACTGAGAAAGCCTAAGACGTGATTACTTTCAATACAAAAAATATTTATTATATGTTATATTATGTACACATTATAGTAAACTTATTATAATACATAGCCAATTTAAATTTTTTTTTAAATGAATCTATCCCAAGAATCTACTCATTATCATTAATATTTTTATTAATCACTTATTATTGCAAAGTTCTGATAATGAAAATTGGGGTAATAAAATTATATTGTTTACTTTAATATTATTATGTTTCATGCATAACTAAGAAACTTTTCCAGAAATTTGCAAGTAAATATAAATTTATTAGTACTTAGAACACAGTATATTTATGGTACATAATAACCTACTGTCCTACACAATAATAAAAATATAAACGACAGAAAAAAATCTGAATCTAATAACAAACACCTTAACACTAAATAATTCTTAAGTCAGTAAATATCTTGAACTTAACAAGATACATTTATTTTCTTACCTCCATTTGAACTAAAATCATCCCCACTTTCGGAATATGCTCGTTTTCTTTTCATACTTTCTTCTTCTTCAGCCTTTTCTGAAGCACTTTCCTCCAAAATATTTAATAAATCCTCATTGGTCATTATTGGAGCATTCTTCAATTGAGTATCTTCATTATGTTCATCAGTTTCTTCTTCCAATTCATCGTCATTTTCTTCATCTTCTTCATCATCAACATTTTTTTCTTGTTCAACATTTTCTTTTTCTTCTTTAGTCTGTTCTGTTGATCCAACTGAATCATCTTTACCTGACTCATCATTTACCCAAACAACGGTCTCACCAAGATTTTTTAAATCATCAAAAGTAACCACTTCCATTTCATTCAATTCATGATCACCTTTTAAATCTTTATCTGATTTAGTTTTAGTTTCAATTATTTCTGGTGATTCATTAAGAAATGTTTCATCTAAATCAGAATTTTCAGCCAAAGTTGATATACTTTCTTGTGATTCTTGATTGTTTTCTAAAGAATTTGGTTCATTTTGAGATTCATCAACAGTTTTTAAAAATTCTTCACTTTTACTATTTTCTGTTGATAATGATTCAATTTGTTCATCTTCTGTTGATAATTTTCTTTTAGAAGTTTCTGCTGGTATGTTTTCTTCAATAACACAATCATTATTGAAAAAATCTTCATTATCTTGAAGTGGAGATTGATTTCTTAAAGAATTTGAATCTTTTTCATGCATTTCCTTTTCAAAATCAGTTTCCTCTGAACATTCTATTTGAATGGGAGATTGATTACTCTTAATATTATCATCAGTTTCGTTATTTTTTTCTTCAGAATTAATTTCTGTTGGAATTTGTTCGTGAAGTTGAGATTGTATCCTCGAAGAATTACTACCTTCCTCATCAGAATCATTTTGGTGTTCATCACTTGATTGTTCACCACCAACTTCAACTGTTAAGCTACTAATAGCTGGAATAGTTTCAATGACTTCATCATTCTGTTTTAGATTTTCTTCACCATGAAAACTTATTTCAACCTTACTACTATCAATTTCATTATTTCCATCAGTACCTAATCTAAATGATTCTAATTCATCTTGTTCATTTTCATTAATTTTATCTTCCTCATTAAAATCATCTTTTTTATTTTTATTTATGTCATCACTCAGAAGATTTATTTCAACATCAGTCTCCTCCTCTTCTTCAACACTAGTTTTAAGTTGCAATTTTTTCTTATTCGGATTGATTTTAAATTTAAATACTTTTTTGTCACTGCTTGAAGATGTTTCACTATTCAGATGACTTCTTCTGGTGTCAAATTTAGATGTACTTGGCTGTGAATCGCCTAAATATTTAACAGCAATCTTATTGAAATCATTGTTCATTTTTGTTAAATTATTCAGATCAAGTCTTGCAACGTTTATAATAAGGTTTTCAAATTTGTCATGATTTAAAATATGACTTAAGTAATCACATTTTAATTGAAACGATTTATCGCAAATGTTGCATAAATGTGGTCTTGAATTAGTTCTGTTTATGGAGCTTACAATTGGGGATAAACGAGGCGTAATTAAATCATCATCATCACTTATACAACATGCTTCTTCGTTATTAAACTCTGCACATCGCCCCATTTTGACATAAGGAACTTTTGAATACATTTTATCATCTTTTTTGATATCATTATTTACTTTAACCTTTATTTTTTTCTGTGAAAGTAATTTTTTTAATGACCCAAATTGACTTCTTTTTTTTCTATGTTTTTGTTGGAATAATCGAGCATTCAAAGATCTCTAAAATAACCACAAAAATTAGAAAATTAAAATTAATTAAAACAAGAAAGAAACCTTGAGTTCATCTCCAGAAGATCGTGGTTTTAACATCCGTAATCTTTTTGATTCCTCCGCAAGTTCCGAATCTTCATATTGCTCTTCATCATTATTGTTATGAGAAAGATTTAAGAAAGTAAAAACTTGTTTCTGTAATTTCCCCCAAACAACAAACCCAAACAAACATTCGGAACAAATTAGTTTATCAAAAACTTCTTCAATCCTCTCATTACTTCCTATTGATTCAACAAACTGAATGAAATGCTTTTTAAAATTACTCGGATTATCTCCAGTTAAAAATAAAAGTCTATCTCCGATGGAATCGCAAAAAAAGCACTGTTTAAGTTTCCTGGTTTTCTTCTTTGTTTTCTTAAAGTTTTTGTGGATTTTACTTGATAAGTGCACTTTAAAGATGCATGTGGGGCATATGAAGAATTCTTTCATATCCTTTTACATGGAATTAAAAAGAAAAAAGTATAATTTGATTAAGAATAATGGAGGTTCTTTACCTGGATGCTTTTCCATTTTTCTTTAACTAAAAAAGCATTTTGTATATCTTCCTTTATTTTTTCATCAAAAACAACTACTTCCACGCTATTACATAACTTACATTCCCCCTTTTTAACATTCATTTTAACTTTATTTCATTAAATAAACTGTTTACCGCGTTGTTTTATTTATTCCTTTTGTTTTTGTGGTTATGTTTTACATTTTGACACTTGTCATATAATTTAATAATTAAACGAGTTTATATTAATCCAAAACGATTTTATATTACTAAACTAAATTTAAATTGAATTTTAAGCAGATAGAGATTTTTAAATAGCATTATTTACATTATTCATATTTATTTACACTTATGATGACTGATAACTTGTGAGTTAATCGAACATTTTTTCTTATACGTAATTTTTATTTATACGAATTTATTAAAACAAACATTAATATAATTAATAAAATGCATCAAATATCTAATTACAACTTTTAATAAATAATAAATAAATCCTCCACATGATTCAATCGAAACATTCTCCCTAAAAAATAAAAATGAATTCCCTAAAATACGATATCATAGTTGTGTAAGGTTATGTGAGGTTATGTTAGAAATTACTTCAACAAAGTGCCCCATTAAAAAATGACTACATCAAGTGAAGATGTTCTTTTACAAGTTCCACAAGTACGGTATAAAAAAGGGGATGGTACTTTGTTTCTAATGGACCAAAGGTTAGCTTGGATGGTAGAAAATAGGGATACTGTGTCGATATCTCATCTTTACGCTGATATAAAAAGTAAGTTGTTTATTTTTGCTTGTGCAAGATTATTATTTGGTGTTTAATTTAAAGCACAAAAGATCTCACCGGAAGGAAAAGCTAAAGTACAATTACAAGTTGTTTTACATAATGGTACTACATCTACTTTTCATTTTATTAATCGTAATGGTTCTCAAGCTCAGGCGGGAGATAGGGATCGTGTGAAGGAATTGTTACAATCCTTATTGCCCAAATTTAAAAGAAAAGTTGATAGGGAGTTGGAAGAGAAAAATAAATTGCTGTCAACAAATCCGGCTTTATTACAACTTTATAAAGATTTGGTTATGACAGAGGTGGTTACCTCTGAAGAGTTTTGGGCTCAACATGCTACACAATATACAAAGGCTCAAAATTTACAAACCCAAGATATAGGTGTTTCAGGAGCGTTTTTAGCAGATATCAAACCCCAAACAGATGGTTGTAACGGTCTTAAATATAACATAACTGCTGATATAATTGAGTGTATTTTTAAAACATATCCAGCTGTTAAAAAGAAGTATGTTGAACATGTTCCTGCAAAACTTACAGAGGCTCAATTTTGGACAAAATTTTTTCAATCACATTATTTTCATCGGTTAGTTAAATGACAAACAAAAAAAAAGTAAATAAAATATATTTTGTTTTTGTAGGGATCGAAAGTACGCTGAAAGTAAAGATTTATTTACTGAATGTGGCAAAATTGATGATCAAGAGATGAAAAAAGACATTCAAATTGGTGTTAAAGACCCTTTGGTTAATATGGTTGAATTTGAAGATATAACACTGGATGAAGGTTATTGTACAGTATCTGATAAAAATCCAACTACAACAGGAACAGTTAGTCAAGCGATGATTAAACGATTTAATCAACATTCAATCATGGTAAAAAATTAATTAAAAACATTTTTATAGATCAATAAATCCATTGTGTTTGTGGTCATAATTTTTTTATATTTACGACAATACTTATATGTTTTACAACTTTTTCTGCTACCACAGTCATTAAATTCAGCTTTATTAGTAGTGGGATTATTCATTCCTTCATATTATTGAATTGTTTGAATTAATAGATATATTAGATAGACAAAGCACAATTGTAAGTGGAACATAGTTAGCCCACCATGTTCATTCCATTCTTCTACAACTGTATCCTACTATAATTTCAGCTTTATTTATCTCCAAGTCAATATCATCGTCATGATGCATAATACATACATACTAATAAAATATCATTTTAGTTAATGACGAAATTAACTGCCTTTCATGAATGCAAACACATTTGACTTAGCCGAACGTCTTTTCTCTATGGCTCTACAGCCCTAATTGAGCTTTGGCTTTCCTCAGCCTCTCATCTCATCCTGGAATGCCCGCTTGGTCTCACTCCTTGTAGCCTTCTACTGATTAGTCGCTTAAGGGGGTATGCCACCTTGAAGACCCGAAAATAATAGGTATTTTAAATTTTTTTTTGCAATCAGACGGTAGAAGTTTTCTAAAAACGGGTTGCAGGGTGTGAATAAGCCACTTTTCTAGTTTTAAATACATATTTTATTTATTAACAGTTATTAAAATTGCACCCGCTAGATGTCGGTAATGTTAGGCTTGCAAATCGTGCAGGGTCAAACTGTGCGCAGGATTTCTCCTAACGCGTAAGTCGAATAATTAAAACTTGAATACGACAACATTAGTAAACTCAAAAACTAGGGAACTACGTAGGATTTTTAAAAAATATTCATTTTTGACGAAATGGTGACGATTTTACAAGAAATGTCGTATTTATTGATAAAGAACGTACTTAAAAATGGTTGTAAAACAGAGAATCTGAGACGGATACGTACTTACCTAGAATAAGATAATACAAACTTTTAAAAAAAAAATCTTGAAAATCCGTTGAAAAATGTAGAAGTTATTGTGTGCACAGATTTGAAAAATGTAGTTTCCAGAAAAACGCGTTTAAAGTTTTCGAATGTAAAAAATTGTAAATTTTTTCTAGATATATCTAATCAGCGATTCCTGCACCATACAGCTGTCCTTCCTGAAGCTTATTTTCATCTTCTGCAGCTTTTCTGTCTGACAGTAGGCTTCTACAAGCTTCTTTAGTCTCAGCAGTCATGGAACGCTCAGTGCGAGCAATGCGATTTAAATCCGTTTCATTCGAAGCACGATCTTCCAATGGTTAATTTCAGTGCTTGCATTATTTCCATAATGCTTGTAAGACCGTCATTAAAATTGCAAGCAGCTATATCAGACGCAATGTCAACCACTTTCTTGCCACTATGAATAGTTTTTGGTGCGATAGACCATAACGCGGCGTTGTAACTTTCATTGCTGTTTTGCGTATATCCCCCTAAACATCTTGTCAAAAGATCTTCCCTTGATAGTTCTTCGTACACAGGTTTCACTGCGTTGAAAATGTCATTGCCGATTGCTGGCTTGTGAGTGTACTCATCGATTTCTGACAAAGCGTACGCTTTTTGCCAGGAACACCACGAGTCAGCACCAACTGCACAATTGTCATGCTTTGGAGTTTCATCTGTTGAAATTTTATGATACAAAGTAGCCCAGATCTCTTTTTTCATGTCCTTCACGGAATCGCAATTTCTGCGAATAGCCATTCCATAATATAAGGAAAGTTCATCAATTAATTTTCCTTTGTCTCCTAATCCGCGGGTGTTTCTTTTTAGATTTCGTAACCGTGTGCCCATTCATTTCTGAACGTGATCGACGCATTATTTTTTGGTTACTATTACACTGTCATAGGCCTGAGTGTCCATAATACCTTTGAAGGTTTTGCTGTCTTCGTCTTCTACGTAAAAACAGTACTTCAAATTATGTTTTTCTTCGGATCGTTGAAACATCTCTACGACGGAGTCCACTTCCATTTTTCCTGAAGATCCGATATGGTTTATATTACATATTTCTTTATGATCTTCGACCCAATCTTGAAATTCCGCAGTATCTTTACCTTTCCAGTAACTACACTTTTTACAAATTTTTGACTTTATATTTGGAATTATTACCCCTTTGTTCGATAGAAGTCGGGTAAAGTTTTCTACGAAAATGAGTTTTTGTGATGCTATTGTTTATTCAGGTACCCGAAAGCCTATTTCAATAGCGTTTTTGAAAAATGATATTTTATGTTTTTTTTAACTTTTTTGTACAACAAGGTCAAAATACCTGCATATACAATGGATAAAAAATGAACCAAAAAGTGGTTACAGAAATCTTAGAATTTCCGGTGAGGTGTGTTACAGAAATCAATTTTTTAGGCAGAAAAACATTCCGCAAATGTTTCAAAGGTGGCATAGGGGGTATGCCACCTTTGAAGCATTCTTTTTTCTCCTATTTTAATCACATATTAAACACTGGCCCTATTATTCTCCGAAAGAATCTTGCTTTCAAAATGTTTACAATTTCTGCCAAATTCTCAATCACATTTTTGGCACAGAATATCATGCCGACCTTAGATTTTGGTATAAGTCAAGAATCATCATGTTGCTTAAAAATCGTCAATTTTCTTAATTGAAGGGAAATCACTCAAGTAAGCCATTACAAATAGAAAAAAAAGTGCGGAGAAGTATAGAAACCGCATCGCCTATGTTCGCCCGTATACCGGTTTGAAGCCGACATAAGAGCATTTGTTTGGAAACAAAATTGACCTTGGTCCTAGCAACAGTGGCGAGTACGATTTAGATGAAATTGGTCAGACTTTATCCACTGGCGTATCCAAAGAGCATCCTAATTTCTTATATAAAATTACAATTAAAATTTAATTGTTAAACTAACTACTAATTGAAAAATTATTGTCGTAACACTTTTATAAATTGAGGAATACTTTTTTTTTCTATATCTTTGTCAAGTTTTAATAAGACTTGAAAGTATTAAACACAATAAATATAATGTTATTTTTTTAAATAATCAGACGTATAGAAACAATATACTTGGTAAATGATACAAGTATGTATGTAGTTTCACGAAAACGAAACGTCGGAGAAAATTTCTAGTTGTGCCATGACATTTTTCATAAAAAGTTGCCTTAAGGATGTTTTTTCAGATTCACGAAAAAACGAAAAATAAAGATAATTTTTGTTTTTCGGCCATATTTTAAAAACTAAAACGGCTAGATCCAAAAACTTTATTGAAAAATGATGAGCTCTAAGATACGCAACTTTGCCCCCATTTAACCATTTCTATATCTCTTATGGTTTCTGAGATCCCAGTGGTGGGTGTCGAATTTGAATTACTCTGTATATACAATTGCTTTGGAAACACTTTAAAGTCACTTTAAAGTTTCAACGTGACGTCACTTTTAGTCGATCATGCAGCACATACTTTTACAGCACATTTAGCTAAAACGCATATTTTCGGGTGAAATACGGTTATTTCTTAAGTTTTCGACGCACAACGACTAAAATGTCGTTATTTACCATCTATAAACTGAAGATAACCCAAAATTTACAGGGTGCCCGGAAATGACGTGTACAACAGAAGACCACAAATACCTGGACCAAAAATACGATGATTTAGCTCATCTTATCTATAGAGGATGATTTTCAACCTATACGCATAAACTGAGGGATTTACTCCTCATGACGAATAATGATAATGATAGGCGAAAAAATTAGTAGCAAAAGATTTTTTGTTTCAAACAGACCATTTTAAAAAAACTTTGCAGCAAGTGTTCAAAGTTATTTTTCATATTTTCTATCAATTGTGCTCCCCGAATCCATGATCCCACACTAGCGCGGCCTAAACCGGCGGATGTACCTGATTTTGCAATATTTGCTGAGTATTAACTTCTGTGGCGTACACTATGCTTTTTAAGTGACCCGAAAGGTATAAATCCTATCCATCTTCCAGGAAACACATTATCTAGATGTCGCCGATTATATCGGATATCTAGGAAACTAAAAAACTTTTACTACAATTTTTTTCATCTATTAGTCTTTATTTGTCCTGAGGAATAAATCCCTCACTTTATGCGTATAGGTTGAGAATCATCCTGTATACAAAATTGCTTAATTTAACCGCTGCCCGAGGGCGTTAAAAACAATATTTTTTTTTTAAATAAGTCGAAAATACCTCAATGGATTTTATTCATTTTTTGGTCATGCGTTTGTATCAGTAGACTACAGCTATTTATAGAATAAACTCTAATTTCGAAAATTATAGGGTGTTTAAAAACTTTGTCACAATAAATTATGCATCCATATCTTTTTAACCCCCCTTTAAATTGCTTAGTTTAGTCGCTAGAAGGTTTTAAAAATTCATGATGAATCAAACATAAAACGCAAAACGAAAAATACGAATACCGCTGTCAAGTTTAAGTTGCTTTTGGTTTTAAAATTAATTATACCTCATCTTACATCACTCATTCGTGCTTGTGGGGATTTACAAAATATTTTTTGTGGCTAAACCGGTCACCCAACTGAAATTTTGTAAGAGAGAAAATAGTTTCTAAATTAAGGTAACTATCCAGAAAAAATATGGTAGTGTTTGTAAAGGGGGTTAAAAAGATATGGATGCATAATTTATTGTGACAAAGATTTTAAACACCCTATAATTTTTGAAATTAGATTTTATTCTACAAATAGCAGTCTACTGATACAAACGCATCACCAAAAAATGAATAAAATCCACTGAGGGTGTTTCGACTTATTTAAAAAAAAAAATTATTTTTACAGCCCTCTAAGGCCCACTTTTACCACCTCCTGATAAATTTTTCTGATAGATAAATCCAGTTCTTAGCCAATGAGAGCGCTTAAAACCGCCGTAACCATGGCAACCATCCTCTAGATAGTTTATCAGGAGGATGGTAAAAGTGGGCCTTAACTAAGCAATTTTGTATATAGACAGGTTGAGTTAAATTATCATATTTTTGGTCA